TCCCAGCCTTTTTCTTAACTCTGTATGGTATTACTTTTTCCAAATTATCAGTTCAATATTCATAAAGTACTAATAGATTATGCACACACACACACTCCACTATATAATTATTAGTCTGTGTTTCTATACCTCTCACATCCCAACCCAGAATTCTAATCTATCAGTTGGGTTCAATGTATAGTTGCTTTTATTTCCATCAATTGTTTAAAGGAATATTTTTCTCAGGCATTCCTTTTTCTCAATCCTCCTTTAATTAAATTTCAACTTTATACTTTATCCAGAACCCTAAAAAGGACTTTCTAAACCGGACAGTGGTAGCACACGCCTTTAATCCTAGCACTCGGGGCAGAGCCAGGTGGATCTCTGTGAGTTAGAGGCTAGCCTGGTCTACAGAGCGAGTTCCAGGGCAGCCTGGGCTACACAGAGAAACCCTGTCTCAAAAACAAACAAAAATAAGGACTTTCTATACTTGCACTGTCCCATACAGCAACTATATGTCTAGTCTGAAGTGAAATGTGCTTTATGTCTACAGTAGCACAGGACTTTAAAGATTCATTATGGACAATTGATGTAAATATTTTTCAGTTATATCCAAATATTAAAATAGCATTTTGGACATATTGGGTCGAACTATATTTTGATTTTTGACCTATTTCTTCGTGTGGCTATAATTTTAAATCGAGTCTTGTAGCTCAACTCAAACTTCTATTGTGCAGTGCTGACCTCCACAATCTACTATAAATTACTTACAAACTAACTTTTCTGTGTTACTCATCTCTAGCTTGGATCAAGATACATCTGAGCTAAAACCTGGTCATCTGTTAACTATAATGCTCTAAGTCTGAGGTACTTCCTTACATGTAAAATGGGAACAAATGCCTCTTTAGCATTATAAAAACACATAATAGACAATGTAACTTTATATTAATGCCATCACTATATTATAGTGCTAGGATCAGGAGTAGCTTTCAAGCCAGGAATGATGATGCAGCCCGTACCCCCAGCACTTGGGAGGCGGCAGGAAAATCAAGATCATCCCAGCTATACAATGAACTGGGGGCCAGCATAGACTACACAAGACCCCTTCTCAAAAAAGAGATGGGGGATTTTTCCCTTAATTTTTACATTGCTGAAAACAACTTTTAAACATAAACGAAACAGTACTTCATGTTTACATACCTCCTTGTGTGAAATAAAAATTTTACTAGATTGTACAATTTTGTTTAGCTTAAGAATTTGTAATGGGGAAAGAACCGAACATTAACGAGGGGAAGATAACACTTTATCAACACATGCGTGTGGGCACACAGGAGAAAAGGAAAATGGGCAAAGGAAATGCTCTATTAGGAGAAATTAAAAAACGCCTTTAATCCCAGCACTCGGGAGGCAGAGCCAGGCGGATCTCTGTGAATTCGAGGCCAGCCTGGGCTACCAAGTGAGTTCCAGGAAAGGCGCAAAGCTACACAGAGAAACCCTGTCTCGAAAAACCAAAAAAAAAAAAAATCCCAATGAAAAGATCACATTTCCTAGCCTCTTGTTTTGTTTTGTTTAGGGGTGATGGTATTAGACCGGGTGCACATGCACATGTGTACGGAGCCAGAGGTCAGTATCTCTCACTGAACCTGGAACTCTAGATGCATAAGCTTCAGGGATTCTAACTTTTCCAGCCTAGCACTGGGGTTGACTCACAGGCACATGCCTCGCTGGCTTTGGCATGTATCCTGAGAGTCTAACTTGGGGTCCCCATGCTTGCACAGCAGACACCAACTGAGCCATCTCTCGAGCTCCCCCTCACTACTACCTAGGACATATATATACATATATGTGTATGTATAGATACAAAACTTTCATATAACCAACTCACCTTCTTTTCTCCTCTAACTGTCACTGCCACATGGTCAAAAATGTAAAGGGCAGTCATGAACTTCAGACTGCTGTAAATAAGGACTGTCAACACTAAACCACTCACTCCCAAGTTCATCTGCTCATCCATCAAGTGGAGCACACTGAATTGTAACCCGGTCATAGGTTTGATTCTAAACCAGAGAAAGTACATTTTTATGCCTGCTCTAACATTCATGTTAACATTCTCATTTTTGTAGATATAGCCTAAAAATGGGACATTTACAGAAGCAAACAATTCTAAGACCACACAGGTGAAAAGTTTGAATTATTGTAGGAAGACTAAACAATGACAGTAACTACTATTTATTAGGCAACATTTACTCAGAATTATGGGCCAGAAAGCTAACTTTATATGAATTCTAGACTCCTAAGATGGTACTGCTGTTACATTACTTACTTAGCGCTCACACTGCTAAACCTGAACATTGCCAGTTTCGCCTGAAGGCTCACATTTCTAACCTTTATCCCTCCCTGCTTCAACTGTAACTCTGTATGCATACACACTTTCTATCTGTCAGTATTAACAAACGAAATCAGATCCAACTCCAGCAAGGCTTTCCTCTACCTTCATAAACCCATTTGCAAGCAAATTGAGAATCACCCTCCCTCTCCAATTAATGGTGGTCTGAAAGTACCAATTATATCTAACACTGTAAGGAAATTGATTAAAATGCATGTGCATATGCATTTGCAGATAAACACTTTGGAAGAAGATTAAAAAAGTAACCTTTAAAAAAAATGAAGTAACTGAGCCAGTGGTATTGTACACCTTTAATCCCAGCACTTGGGAGGCAGATGGATCTCTGTGAGTTCTAGGCTAGCCTGGTCCACATAGTGAGTTCCAGGACAGCCGATGCTATGTAGAGAGACAAGAAAAACAAAAAACCCACAAAAACTTAAAAATTCAGTAACTGACAGAATATAGGTAAGCATGTTTAGTAAAGAGTACTTTAATCCCCAGACTCACTCAACTTGGTCTTTCTGACACTGTACATTAAATGAATGACGTGTATGCTGAGAACAGTGTAACACATGAAATCTGTATGGACCACTCTAACAACTTCACTTCTACCACAATCTAAACCAAGAGAATTGAGTTAAGGGGAATAAATCACTTATCTGCACTTTTACTCACAAAACCACAGGCCCAAGAACCCTAAATGATCCCCCACTACAGATAACGAGGTCAAAGATTAGCACAGAGGCAATTTCTTAACACAAAGTAGACTTAATCCAGCCTCCCTCCCCCAACCTCAATAAGTCCTTCTTTTTCCTCTTGAAATCTCAGCATTTCTTCTCCTGGAGAGCCACAGCTACCTCACAGGACTTCTTTGTTTTTCTTGTTAATATTGCTCAACTGGAAAAGGAGGCTTTTGGAAGGTGGAGAGGCCGAGGGTCTTGCTGTATCTATAACCCACGCAGACCTCAAGTTCACAATCCTTCCTTAGCTACAGTAGTGAGAGGATGACAAGTGTCGTCCACGCCTAGCCAGTCTCTAACCTTGGAGAACACGAGAGCATATGACCCCATAATCACCCAAGATCAGGGTGAGTTCAAACAAGAAGGAACCTCACAGGTCAACTTTGGAGAGCTGAGAAGAAACTAAGGAGCAAAGAAACCAAGGCCTTTAAAAAAAAAACCAAGAGAACAAACACCCTTTCAGGTGGACTCCATGCCCTCATGGAAGATTCAACTGAATGCAGTAGTGTTCCACCCTCGGGTCTCATGAGGCATTTGTTTTTGAGAGAGGAGGAGAGATACTTTAGCCAACCAGCAGGGTGAGCTAGTGCTAGAAGAAGTCATTTTAAAACCCCCAAAACCTAAAGGCCTAAGTGGCACTATTATAAGGAGCTATCTCCTTTTACTTAGCCCTAGTCACAAACAGCACTTTTAGGACTACACCTCAGACACTGTTCAATGTTTACAGATTTACCATGTACAAAACACATCTCCACACCAGATAAATGCAGAAAAACATGAAGACCTATGAATATCCAAATTACAACATCCACCATTCATTCCAACGTTTGATTTTACAAAGCCACCAATTTTAAATTTTTCTTTTTAATTTTTCTATAAGGTCTTCTAAAAACTCTGTTTTCTACAGATTCGAACTGACAATTCAACAAGCCAACTTCTACATTTACTGCACGCCAATTCTTGCCCTGTGTGACGAAAAAGCAGTCCTAAGATGGTACTCTAAGACAAGCCACACTGTAAGAGGAGTCCAAGTGACTAATCCTACACAACTAAGGGTGTCTCTGGCGTGACAGACACTCCACCATTTGTCGTCTCTTGAGTTTTCAGTCCTTCGGCTACCCATTAGTCTCACTTAAACTCGAGCTCTCTCCTAGAACTTGAACAAACTAAGAAACCTGGAAAGCATTGAAGGCGTGCAAATGACACTCACTTTATAATTACAAATAACCACCAAGGAACCCTAATTACCACAAGACTAAGTGTAATTAAATCTACTCAGTGTTGAAAATTATCAACCAGCCTTTAAACTCTTAGGAAAAACAAAAACAACAAACAAAACCAGTCACTTAAAAAGCACTTGAAATGACCCACACAAGCCCTACAATTTCAACTGCTTTTGTAGAGTGAGAGCTCCACCACAGACGACTTAACACTTGCTGCATGTCCTAAGACCTACACTAGTAGTAGCTGGTCTTCAAAGGTCATTCTGAATAGCAGTCTAAGAGGCATGTTTATTTATCTAACCAAACATTACAAAATGAAAGGTACTGGCATGGTTTTCAGCACCTATTTCATTTCTTAGCAATTTCCAGCAATAATGGCAGTTATCCTGAACTTTCCAAGATTTATCAAGCACATGTTTTTGGGGTTTTGTTTTTAATTTTCACATTTCTGGGTCACGTTTGCTTTGGAAAATCTCAAAAATCATGTTTAAGCAACACTGATCCAAAATCATGTAACATTAAATTGACTGTCACAGGTGGTCTCACTAAGGACACTACTTAATTAACGGGCATCCTCAGTAATACCCTTTGATTTTAAAACCTTTGTTACCAGATGCTAACAAAACTAGGGCAAGATAGGAGTTGAAAGCCCAGCCCCGTTACACCACTTACCCCACTCAGCACACTGCTCAGAGAGTGGCAAGAACAGCAGCTCTTTTAGAGTTCTCCCTTTGGTAAAACTGTGTGATCCAGGAATACACCTGACTGTTAACCGTTCTGTATGAGAAAGAAAGCTAAGAAAGGGAAAACACGCCTTTAATCCCAGCACTCGAGAGGCAGAGCCAGGTGGACCTCTGTGAGTCCAGGCCAGCCTGGCCTACAGAGAGTGTCCCAGGACAGCCAGAGCTACACAGGGAAACCCTGTCTCAAAAACCCAAAAACACATAGCTGGAGAGAAACACGGAAAACTAAAGTTTTAAGTAATGTTGGAAAGTTCAAATTTAAGTTAATGGTCTAAATGTGTTTAAATATTCCTTCAAGTAATTACATTAATGGCATATACAAGGCACCAACTCTTTTGAAATTCACACTTCAATATTCATTAGTTCCAATACAATGCATGATGTAAAACTTACAGCCATATTTTCTAACAGCAATATACAAACCACTGCATTAGAACCAGTCAGGCACCCACGTTTCACCAATCTGAGTGTCTATGCTGAGTTATAACTTCACTACAGAATCTCAGTTTCTCTCTTAACAAACCTACCCAAAATACAGTAGAGCTGACAACACATGGCCCTGAAGCAGGTTTCCTTGCTTTGGGGAACTGTAGTTGTTTAGGTTCCGAAATGCTTTGCTTTGTGGGACCAAACACTAACTAAACTACGACACAATTAAAGCAAACCTAATACAGCCCCCCCCAGAAGCAGTAAGCTTGGCATCATCCATCAGGACTGTCCAGAACAGATGACTGTGTTTGGTTATTTCTGTGGAAGTTAACTTGTACACAGAACAAGACCATCATTTCAGGGACCCGAGCTCTCTAAGTATCCCCTCGTTGAGTTTATCACATAAAATTTGAAATCTAGTATCAAAAGTTTTATAACAACTAATACTTAGGTCAATATTACTTAAACAGTTGAAGAAAACTTTTCCACTAATGTCGCTAAACCATGGATGGATCCCAACACGAGAGTCGTCTGTGGAAGTCTCGAGACAAGAAACCACCTAAGTTTCCAATCACGGGGAAGGGTCTGGGACAACTCATCTTCATGTTCTCGGGAGAGGTGGATGGAGCACACCTGCTTTCCTCTGGCAGAGATTAAGCTCCCAGGGACACAAAGGCCAGGGAATCAGACCTGGAGAGGCAAAAAGCTTTAGCTGGATACCCACCAATCTCCTGGCAACCCAAACACTTCGAGTGATTTTTTTTTTTTTTTTTTTTTTTTTTTACCTCGTGGAGTTACTTCCCAGGCACTTAGCGGCACAAGATGTTGCAGACCAGTGGGAAGAAGGGGAGGGCTATGAGGTCTTGTCCCAAAGTCAGGGGAGGGGTGTGTGGACAGTTAACGCCAGAGCCGGAGCTCCAGGCCCGGACGGAGCGGCCCCGCACCGGGCGCCCGCGGACTGCTCTCGGACCGCCCCGTTACTCGGGGCATTTACAATGGCGACCGCCAGGCTCCCCCGGCCTCCCCATCTCGGCCCCCTTCCCGCTGCCGCTCACTGGCTGCTCCGCTGCAAGTGACTACTACACAAACCCCCACCACCACCCCCAAGTCTAAGCGCCCGCCCGGCTCGGCCCCTTTGTGTCCGCCACCGGATCCTCCGCCGCCCGAGCGGAAAGGCCCCCCGCCCGCCGCCGAGTCCCGCCCCGCGGCGGCCGCCGCCGCTCACCTAAGGTTCCGCGGCCCCCCGCGGCCGCCGCCTCCCGGACCCCGCGGCCCGGGCTCCTTGTGCAGCCGCAACTCCGCCTCCTCGGCCGCCGCCGCCATCTTAGCCTGTGCGGCAAAACGCGTCCCTCTGGATGGTTGGGAGCCAGCCTAGGGCGTAGCTCCCCGGGCCCGGGCGCCGCGGGCCGGGTCCCCCCACAACTTCTTCCGCCACCCTCGGTCCCGCCACCGCCCGAGCCCGGACGCCCGGAACCCAGCCGGGGCCGCCGCCAACCCGACCAAAGAAGACCCCCGAAACTCACAGTTTGGTGCCGTGTGCGTCAAACCGGGGCGACGTTGGGAGCGCGCGGCGTCCCCGCGTCACACGCCGCTCTGTACGCTCCTCGGCTCCAACGGCCCCCTCCGCTCCCCGCTTTTCGCCGGCGGCCTCGGTTCCCACGGCGCAGGCGCGCGGCTTTCCCGCCTCTGCCTGGCGGCGGGCCGCCGGGGGAGGCCGGCGCCGAGCGGAGCGCAGCGCAGCGCCGGGGCCCGTGGAGCTGCGTGCGTGCGGGAGCGCCCGGGCCAGTGAGACCTCCGGGGGGGACGGCAGAACAGTGCCCCCACTGTTCTCGGGTGCCAAAAACCCGAACAAGGTCACCTCCCCCCAGCGGTGACCTAAGCACTCCCAAGGAGGTTCCCGCCCCAAAGTAGGCACGCTCCAAATATGGTGGCGACCAAACTCTGCAAGACCCAAGGACTAGGCATGCCTAGGCCCTTTAAGGTGGAACAGGCCCCTTCTTCGGGTGTCTACAATCACCAGTTGGCCAAAAATTCCGATTCTTCTCCTAACTGTTGAAGGAACCAGCTAAAGAACGCAACACGTGCCAGTCCTGACCGTGGAGTACCGGCAAAGAGAGGTTTTATGATGTTAAACGTGCCAGTTAGAAGATGCCTGGTGGCCAAAGCGTCAGGGGTCGCGACTCAATTTTGCCCAGTCAAAACAACCTAAAAGAAACCCAGGATTTGGGCTATGAGGACTCTGCGGAGTTATTTTCTGCCTTGTGGAACGTGCCTGGATTGTCCCAGTTGAAGTCACACAAAGAAACACTTGATAAGCTGGTTAACTCTTCAGATAATCAATAGATTCCCCTGAGGGTCTTCTAAATCTCCCTTTTAACAAGCATTCAGTCATGGGCTACTGAGGGGAGGAGAACACTAATTAGAGGTATTCCCTTTGCTTTTGGACTGAGCCAACAAGTTCCTAACCTGTTGAAGGCGAACTAAACGTTCTGGAACAATTAGGCCTGCCTTATTCAATTCTTTGGTTTCCCTGAACTTTTTTCTCATGAAAAACTTTCAAAGTTTTCGTTAGTTAAGCCATAGTCATGAACTGTGCACCTTCAAGATGTCACTGGCATTCAGAGGAATGTGCTGTAATTGCATTTATTTGGCAAGAATGAGAGTCTTTCCCAAAAATGATGCCTTCAGCAGCAGCAAACGTATTCAAATAACAGATATTTTACGATCCACACTAATTAGTTCACTAGCTAACAACTGCTGACACTTGGGGGGCTTGCCGGGTGTGCATCGGGCATTATCCTAACCTGTTCCAGCAAACTGCAACCTGAAGTGGCAAAGAGAGATCAGACTGGTTTCTCAAAGTCACAGGACGCTTTGGCCTGTTTCAGAACGTAAGCTTGCCTTCATACACATGAATGGAGAAACAAAATACATGGTGGCGCACGCCTTTAATCCCAGCACTCTGGAGGCAGAGCCAGGCGGATCTTTGTGAGTTTGAGGCCAGCCTGGTCTACAGAGCGAGATCCAGGAGAGGCGCAAAGCTACACAGAGAAACCCTGTCTCCAAAAACCAAAAAAAAAAAAAAAAAAAAAAAAAAAAGATGTGTATATATTTTCAGCCAACTGGGTGGGAGAGAAGCGCTTTAAAGATCTACTTATTTTTTAACCTCACGAATTTGGATGATGGTTTCATCTGAATCTCTGGCCGCGCACCCTTGCTTCCTGTCTGGTGCCTAGGAGGCCTGATGAGGGCATAGGGAAGCTACTAGCACTGGAGTTACAGATGGGTATAAGTGGCCATGTGAAAGGTGGGACCTGAACCTGGGTCCTCCACATAACCATCAAATGCTTTTCACCAAGAACCATGTCCCTGGCCCCAAAGGATGCACTTTAGATTAGATCCATTAACCTGCAGAATTCAAAGGCTCATCAACTGGAACTAAGCCTTTTACACTTGAGTCTTTGGGGCACATTTCAGATATAGATATGTACATAAATATATAGATATAGATATGTAAACATATATAGGGAGAGCTATGAATATATTCTGTATATCTTAAAATCCTATATAAACATTCACATTCTATAAATGGTGTTGAACAAATGAATTGCTATAGTTCAACAGAAGTTGATTATTAAAAGATCAACTCTCAGTTTAGTAGGGAGTGGGACATGAAAAGATAAAGATTTTAAAATTATAAACAAAACCTCATGAGAGTCAGGAATGATGGTGAATACCTTTAATCCCAGCATCCAGGAGGCAGAGGCAGGCGGATCTTTAATTCAAGGCCAGCCTGGTCTATAAAGAAAGTTCCAGGACTATGGTGATATTTTATTTGTATTAAAATGTTATTTGTATGTTAATAAATAAAGTTGCCCGGGGGTCAGAGCTATTAGCAAGCCATAGGAAACCAGGGCAGTGGTAGCATACGCTTGTAATTCCAGCACTTGGTAGGCAGAGCTGGGTAAGTCTCTGTGTGTTCAGGGATACAGCCATTATTGGATACACATGCTTTTAATCTCAATACCAATCATGGAAAACCTGGAGGCCTATACAGACAGGCCGTGAGGAGGCGGTCATGTGGTTGGGTTTACAACCAATGAGAAGGCAGGACAGGAACTCTATATAAAAGACTTTAACACAGGGGTAGCTCTGGTTCGGAGAGGTAGGACCACCGCAGGAGGAAGGGTAAGGTTTTAGCTCTTAGCTCTGACCTCTTGGCTTTCTTCTTTGCATTGGTTCTGTGTTTATTATTTAATAAGAAGGTTGGATACATCTACACAGGACAGCCAGGACTACACAAAGAAGCCCTGTCAAGAAAAAGTGAATGAATGAATGAATAACCTCATGAAACACAGTAGAAAATAGATTCAGTATACAGATACTTACTAAAAACTCTATCTAAAATTTAACTTGAGTCAGGGAGATGACCCAGGTGGCAAAGTACACACTGCAATATGAAGACTGGATGGAGTTTAGATCCCAGAACATGTGTAAAAGCTGAATGGATATGGCACCAGGTCCATAACCCCAGCCCACGAGAGGCAGAGGCAGGGGCTCCCTAGAGGAAGCTGGCTACCCAAACCAGCCAAATCTTCAGGCTCCAGGCTCAGCATGAGGTACTGCTGGACCTATGGGGTAGAAAGCAATGGAGGTTACAGCAGCATCAATGTCAGGACTCCACAGGCATGCATGTGTGCAGATGCACCCCTCACATACATGTAATCATTCACTCAAACACCACAGAAAAAAGAAATATATCTACTGTTCTACTCTATCATATCAAAACCAGATGAGATTGTAGGAGCCTGCTGAGAAAGAAAACAGTGGGTCATGGAAACTTACTGTAAAATATTTAAGGAATGAGTAGAGAAGTGCATGTTAGTTTTGCATCACTCAAAATACCCTAGAGAAACAAATCAAAGTCACAATTTTGGTCCATGGTTATCTGGCTCCCTGCTGGATCAGAGAAAGAAGCCTGGTGGAATGTCACTGCAAGGGAAAACTACCCTACCTCATCCCAACCAGAAAGCAGACAGAATGAGAAAACAGAGTCAGGGGACAAAATACACTCTTCCAAGGCACACTTCAGCGACCCGCTTCCTCCTAATAGACCCCATCACTATCAATAACATCTTCAAATTGTGAATCCATCGGTGGGTTGATCCACTGGTGAAGTTAATTCTTCATGTCCAAAGGCCTGTAAGCTGTCGAGCAAGCCTCTAATACGAAGCAGTCAGGGGACAGTTCAGTTTCAAAGAATAACAAGGTACAAGAAAATAAACAAAAGGACATAGAAATGAGACAGAGCTCGGGCAAGAGAGCAGCACCAAAGGAGCAATGGCATATGGGTAACAGCATTGTTGTGACCAATAGCCCCAAGTATCCATGAACAACAGCAGGCCTCCCTTTTTATTCATGTCATACTCCACTGTCGTCAGTTGGAAGGGGAGGGGAGGTCTTGGGGTCATTATCTGGGGAACTGACGTTTCTCCATCACACACTGGCAGAAAACACTTCTCAGTTTCCAGTAGCCAACACTCCAGGCAGGGGCCCCACTTACTGCAAAGACAGACTATAGAATGTAGTTTATTATATTCCATGGAGGTAAATGAGACTTCTGGGGAAAATCTGTTGTGTGTGTGTGTGTGTGTGTGTGTGTGTGTGTGTGTGTGTGTGTGTGTGTAAGACCATTGGCGACTCTAGTAAGTGCTATTTGAATGACTCCTTCCAGTGCAGCAGTTTTGGTAATAAGGAGATAAAAGGGGGGAAGAGAGAGAAACTGGGACTGTCAATTATAGGAGGTTGATGCGGTGGTTTGAAAAACGGCACCTATAAGCTCATGCATTTAAATTGTTGGTCATCAGGAAGTGGTAGTACTTGAGAAGGATTAGGGGGTGTGGCCTCGTTGAAGTAGGTGTGGCCTTGTTGGAGGAAGTGTCTCACTGGGTATGAGCTTTGGGGTTTCAAGAGCCAAAGCCAGTCCCAGTGTCTCTTTCTCCTTGCTGCCTGTGAATCTGGATGTAGAACTCTCAGCTCCTTCTCCAGCACCACATCTGCCTGCATGCTGCCTTGCTTCCCACCATGATGAAAATGGACTAAACTTCTGAAACTGTAAGCCAGCCTCAAATAAATGTCTTACTTTATAAGAGTTGCCATGATCATGGTGTCCCTTCACAGCAATAGAAACCTGACTAAAACAGTTGATAAGATGAAGCAATTGACTCACACAACTGAGAGACAAATACAAACTCAGAGGTAAATCCCTCTAGTAGAGCTAACCAGCCAGCCTTCTCCTGGTAAAGAGCCACACCC